GTCATTTCAGGGTGTGCTGTCTCTTTAAAGGCCTGTGTTTTAAGTGATATTAATGTAGCACTTGTGTGTTGTTGTTGGATGTGTGTTATCAGGAGGTTTGGAAAAAAATCCAGATTTGTTTTCTGTCTATTTTGTCACGTTCAGTCGCTCCTCGAATGTTCCTCTGTTCATCACGTCAGTCTGATCACAAACAGCACGTTGTGTTTTTGCCAGCACATTGAGTCTGCTAATAAGATTAGGGAAGACAAATGTTGGCATGTCTTGGTTTCTGTGTGTGTGTGTGTGTGTGTGTGTGTGTGTGTGCATGCTCTCCTCCTCCCTCGTGTGTCTTTGTGTGTTTTCCTCAACACAAAGCCTTCATTGAGCAGCTCTGAACGCTCTCACGATGACATTTATAGTCTCTGAAATTCACAAGTGAATCAGCTTCTCAGACAGCAGCTCTTATTGTCAGCATAAACTCCTCCTGAAGCTCAACATGCTCGCCGAGTGTTGTGTGAATCAGGTCCTTTGGCTTTCTGAATAATATCTCATGTGCAGGTTCTGACATAGCTCTCCTTCAATGTAAACAGTATTAAATAAATAAATAGAGCCTGTAGCCTCTTAAATAGAAGACTGGGCTGAACTGATCACGTTATATTCTTTAATATTGTACCTGCTATTGATCCGCATGAGGGGTGTCACGGTGGCGCAGTAGGTAGTGCTGTCGCCTCACAGCAAGAAGGTCGCTGGTTCGAGCCTCGGCTGGGGGTAGTTGGCATTTCTGTGTGTAGTTTGCATGTTCTCACAATGTTGGCGTGGGTTTTCTCCAGGTGCTCTGGTTTCCCCACAGTCCAAACACATGCGCTATAGGGGAATTAGGTAAGCTAAATTGTCAGTAGTGTGTGTGTGTGTGTGTGTGTGTGTGTGTGTGTGTGTGTGTGTGTGTGTGTGTGTGTGTGAATGAGTGTGTATGGATATTTCCCAGTTATGGGTTGCAGCTGGAAGGGCATTCGCTGTGTAAAACATACACTGGATAAGTTGGCGGTTCATTCCGCTGTGACGACCACTTATTAATAAAGGGACTAAGCCGAAAAGAAAATGAATAAATAATCAACATACGCATGATCAAAGCAACTCATTTGCATAATCTCCACCTCCCATGACACTTCTGACACAGAAGCTAACCAATCAGAGCAGAATTGGCTAATGAAAGGGGGAAGGGCTTACATACCTTAAAGGGATAATTCACCCAAAAATGACAATTTACACACTATTTACTCTCCCTCGAGTGGATCCAGAGTTACTTTCATCTGTTTAACTCAAAAGAAGATATTTTGAAGAATGTTAATAAACCATTGACTTCCATTTATTAAGTCATTTTCCTTCGGCTTTGTCCCTTATTTATCAGGGGTTGCCACAGTGGGTTGAACTGCCATTTATTCCAGCATGTGTTTTACACAGCGGATGCCCTTCCAGCTGCAACCCAGTACTGGAAAACACCCACACACACTTATTCATGCACACACTCATACACTACAGCCAATTTAGTTCATCAGTTCCCTATATTGCATATGTTTGGACTGTGGGGGAAACTGGAGCACCCGGAGGAAACCCACGCCAACATGGGGAGAACATGCAAACTCAGAAACGCCATCTGACCCAGCTAGGACCTTCTTGCTGTGAGGCCACAGTGCTAACCACTGAGCCATCGTGCCGCCCCCATTGACTTCCATAGTAGGAAAAACAAATAATATAGAGTCACATCTATCACATCTTCTTTTGTGTTCAACTGGAGAAAGAAAGTCATGGGTGAGTAAAGGATGACAGAATTAAAATTGTTGCGTGAACTAACCCTTTAAGTTCTACACAAGCTTGTACAAGAGAGACAGCTAAAAGCAGAGGATAAATCTGTAGTGTTTATCATGTTTCCCAGTACTGGATTGCAGCTAGATAAGCTTGCGCTGTGTAAAACACATGGCAAAGTAGTTGTCGGTTCATTCCCCTGTGGCAACCCTTGATAAATTCGGGATTAACCTGAAGGAAAATGATTGCTTTCTGTCATTAGTTTAATAACAGGATATGATAGTGAATCTTCTTTATCATGCACTCGGTCTTGATGTGGCGTTGAGTTGGCGGCTCCTGAACTGCTGATCTTGAATCTGCTGCAGGGTTTGGTGAAGGTTGTCGAGGTTTAACCTGTTTAGACTCGTGATCTGATTTATCTCAGGACACTCCTGCTGTTTCGTCTTCATCCTTATCCTCCTTCAGCACTAAACCGCTGAACACCACAACACTGCGTCAGTACTCTCACACCAGAACATTTGCTTCTCAAAACATTCTGGATAACGTCTGCTGAAAGTTGACATTTAAAGGGACAGCACACCTACAAATGAACATCTACATCATTTACTCACACTCAAGGTGGAGTCTCTTTCTTCTGTTGAACACTAAAAGAAAATATTTAGAAGAATGTTGGAAAAATAAGATATTTTGAAGAATGTTGGAAAAATAAGATATTTAGAAGAATGTTGGAAAAAAATAAGATATTTAGAAGAATGTTGGAAAAATAAGATATTTTGAAGAATGTTGGAAAAATAAGATATTTTGAAGAATGTTGGAAAAATAAGATATTTAGAAGAATGTTGGAAAAAAGACATTTAGAGGAATGTTGGAAAAAAGAAGACATTTAGAAGAATGTTGGAAAAATAAGATATTTAGAAGAAAGTTGGGAAAAAAAGATTTCGAAGAATGTTGAAAAAAAGAAGATATTTAGAAGAATGTTGGAAAAAAGAAGACATTTAGAAGAATGTTGGGAAAATAAGATATTTAGAAGAATGTTGGAAAAAAAGATTTTGAAAAATTTTAGAAAAAAGAAGACATTTACAACAATGTTGGAAAAAAGAAGATATTTTGAAGAATGTTGGAAAAAAGAAGATATTTTGAAGAATGTTGGAAAAAAGAAGATATTTTGAAGAATGTTGGAAAAAAGTAGCCACTGGCATCCATTTTTCAATAGATCTTTGTTCAACAGAAGAAAGAAACTCAATCTAGAAGTGAAGAGTGAGGAAATGATGACAGATTTGACATTTTTCGGTGTACTGTCCCTTTAAGAGAACATTTATTTGATTTATTGTATAATCCAGTGTTTCTCAACCACGTTTCTGGAGGACCACCAGCTTCGCACATTTTTCATGTCTGCTTAACCAAAACACACCTGATTCAGATCATCAGCTCATTAGCAGAGACTGAAATACCTGTAATGGGTGTGACAGACAGTGGAGACATCCAAAACATGCAGTGTCGGTGGTCCTCCAGGAACGTGGTTGAGAAACACTGGTTTAATTAAACAGCACAAGTAACATTTGTGACGTCTAAAATGGTACGTTCTCTTAAAGGAACAGTTCACCCAAAAATGTACTTCATTACTCATCCTCCACTTGTTTCAAATGTGTTTGAGTTTCTTCATTAAAGATTCAATTCCAGACATTAAAAGTCAGTGAATTTGCTTAATTTTTTTTGTCCAAGGTGTGAAATATAAGGCAGTTTTAATAATAATAATAATAATACCTTTTATTTCAAAGCCCTGACCAATCAGAGCAGAGCTGGTATACGGAAGACAATGTTATTCCAGCATGTGCCAATAACAATACAGTATACTGTGTTCTATATTCTGATGAGGGCGGATTATTAAAAACTAAATTTGGTGATTGTTGCTCTTCAGGTGCCGTCAGACTCCGGGACGGGGCTTCTGGCCGAGCCACAGATCGCCATGTTCTGCGGGAAACTCAACATGCACATCAACATCCAGAGCGGGAAATGGGAGCCGGATCCGTCCGGAAGCAAGAGCTGCATCGGGAATAAAGAGGGAATCCTGCAGTACTGCCAGGAGGTGAAGCAACACTACACTATCACTGCAGTATGAGCTCGAGGATGAACACTAATCTAATCTAAAATGAAGAACTAAAGATATTAGCCCTTCAAATATAGCCTTAAACTTTTGTTTTACGGAAATGTGATAACAAACTCTATAAACTTTGAAGAGGGAATTATTAATACTTTTTTCAAATAATTAACTGAGTAAGGACAATTTGACAGTATTTGCTATATATATTATATTATTAGCCATTTAAAACATGATTTTTTACAAATGCCTAATAAATGTCTAATTATTACCTTAACCTAATTAAACTAGTTAAATTATAGTAAGTTATATAGACATAGAAATTAGTCACTTGAATTATATCTTTAAAAATAATTGAAGTAATTAATTTTTTTTATTGAGTTAGAAAAAGATTAATCACAAATAATTAAATTTTTGTAAATTTCTGTACATATAAACACACAGGCATGCATACATTTGAGAAAATGTTTATTTATATTAACATATCAAATATATATGTATATAATACAAATTAAATGTACAATTTGATATCTTTTATGTATGCGTGTGCATCACATATACATAATATGTATATCACACACACACACACACAAACACACACACACACACACACACACATAAATATATATTATGTCAAAACTAACTCTTATTTTGGATTAATTGCATTTAATCTTTACCCAGCACACACTTTTATTGATATGTTTTGACATTAATTTCACGTTAATTGAATTGTTTTCACATTATTTCACTGCTGTTGTTGTTGTTCAGGTGTATCCGGAGCTGCAGATCACCAATGTGGTGGAGGCCAATCAGCCGGTCAGCATCTGGGACTGGTGTAAGAAGAGCCGCAAGCAGTGCCGCAGTCACATGCACATCGTAGTGCCGTACCGCTGCCTGGGTGAGTGTCGTTGTCTTAAGTCTGGTTTATACTTCTGCGTCAGGTGACCGGCGTAACCCACAGCGCATGCAACGTGCGTAGTCGTGCATTTATACTTCTGCTGCTGTCTCTGTCGGTCTGCATTAACACTTCCGAAACGCTAGTGGGCAGTGAGGTGTAAATGTTCCTCTGTGTCGAGTTTCTTCGCTGCTGCTTTGCTTTCCTGAACACTTCCGGGATGTACAAGTGGCTCAAACTCGCTCATTTTGAGGCAGGAACCGGCGGACGTGCAACAACTTTAACTATGAGGTAAACACAAAACAAAACTTTCCATCCTTCACGGCACTCCACACTTGTAAACAATCGCTCGCGCCATTCGCGTGGCTCTTGGATTCGCGCCCAGACTCGTCAGCGCTACCAAGCTGACCAATCACAGAGCTTGCGCTACGCGTTGTTGTTGACGGCCATGACGAAGGGCTATGCATCAATGCCGTAGCATACACGTGCGTTTGATGCAGCAGTATAAATCAGCCTTTAGTGTAGATGAGAGTGTGTGTGTGTGTTTGTGCGAGTGTGTGAGATTTTGTGTGTGTGTAAATGTGTTTGCTTTGATGTGTGCTTGTATGTACAGTATGTGAGCAAGTGTGATCGTATGTGTGTGTGTGTTTTTGTGTAAATGAGTATGTGTGTGTTTGTGTATCTGTTTTGATGCATATTTGCATTTGTGAATGTTTATTTCGATGAGTGTGTGAGTGCAAGTGTGTGCTAATCTTCTGTATGTGTGTTTGCATGTGTGTGCTTGTGTATAAGTGTATGTGAGTGTGTTTGTTTCAATGTGTGTTTGCATGTTTAAAGTTTATTTCGATGAGTGTGTGTGTATATCTTCTGGATGTGTGTGTGTGTGTGTGTGTTTGTGTTATTGTATTTATTTCAATGTGTGTCTTTGAACGAGTGTGGGTCTGTGTGTTATGTCTTCTACATGTGTGTGCGTGTGTATGTGAGTGTGTTTGTTTCATGTGTAAAGTTTATTTCGATGAGTGTGTGAGCGAGTGTGTGTGTGTATATCTTCTAGATGCATGTGTACATGTGTTTATGTGTGTGTGTGTGTGTGTGTGTGTGTGTGTTTGAGCGAGTGTGTGTATGTATTCTGTATGTGTGTGAGTGTGTATAAATATGTGCGTGTGTGTAGTCCACCAGCTCATTGCTCTCTGTTCATCACGTGTGTGTGTGTGTGTGTGTGTGTGTGTGTGTGTGTTTCTCTCGTCAGTTGGGGAGTTTGTCAGCGATGCTCTGCTGGTTCCTGATAAGTGTAAGTTCCTGCATCAGGAGCGCATGGACATGTGTGAGAGTCACCTGCACTGGCACACCGTCGCCAAAGAGGTCAGAAACACACACACACACACACACACACACACACACACACACACACACACCACATGAGTAATTAACTGGAGTCATGCAGCATGAGGTCAGACTGATAAAGTGTGTGTGTGTGTGTGTGTCTCTATGGTCTGCGCAGTCGTGTGGTGACCGCAGCATGAATCTGCATGATTATGGGATGCTGTTGCCGTGTGGAATTGACCGTTTCCGGGGTGTGGAGTTCGTGTGCTGTCCTGCAGACGCGGGTAAAGAGTCTGAGAGCGCCGCTGTGGAGGAGGACGATTCAGACGTGTGGTGGGGCGGAGCGGAGGCTGATTACACCGAGAACAGGTCACTCTCAACACACACACACTCTTACACTCTCATACACACACACTCTTACACTCTCATACATACACACTCTTACACTCTCATACGCACACACACTCTTACACTCTCATACACACACACACACACACACACTCTTACACTCTCATACATACACACTCTTACACTCTCATACACACACACTCTTACACTCTCATACACACACACACACACACTCTTACACGCATACACACATACACTCACATACTGAAATGCACACTCACTCTCATACAGACTTGGATATCTCTCTCACACACACACACAGGCTCTGACATACTTTGATAAACACACTGACTCTCATACAAACTTACAGTTATCTCATACACACACACACAGACTTGCACATCACACACACACACACACACACACGCACACATTTAATCTCATACTAAAACACGCTTATAGATATCACACACACATAACTTACACACCTTCACATCTCATGCACACACGCACACACACACACAGATATCTCACACACACACCTACACATATATCATGCACACACAAATTAAATTTTTTAATTCAACACAATGTGTGTGAGAGCATATATGTGTCTGCATTTGTGTGTGTGTGCATGTGTGTGTATGTGGCAGATGGTAATGGAGGATTATAACACTAGTGTGTGTGTGTTCAGCATGACTCGTGATGCCGCAGCGGAGCCGGCGGTGCTGGAGGATGATGAGGATGCGGACGAGGAAGAGGACGAGGATCAGGATGGAGATGGAGATCGGGACGAGAAGATAGAGGAAGAGGAGGAGGAGGAGGAGCGCACCCAGAGCACCAGCGCAGCCCTGACCTCCACCACCACCACCACCACTGAGTCTGTAGAGGAGGTGGTGCGAGGTGAGGGACAGCCGCCAATCATCCATACACACCACACAGCACTTACAGAGACACATGAAGTCATTATTCACATACTAAAGTACTAGTCAGTGGGTGGAGCTAAACAATCAGGGATTTAGGGGCGGAGTTTAACCACACTATTACGTCATAAAGTCATTATTTACATTCTACAGTGATAGTCAGTGGGCGGAGCTAAATAGTCAGTCATTTAGGGGCGGAGTTTAACCACACAATTACATCATGAAGTCATTATTTACATATTACAGTTCCAGTCAGTGGGCGGAGCTAAACAGGCAGTGATTTAGGGGCGGATTTTAACCACACTATTACGCCATAAAGTCATTATTTACATTCTACAGTGATAGTCAGTGGGTGGAGCTAAACAGGCAGTGATTTAGGGGCGGAGTTTAGCCACTATTAGATCATAAAGTCATTATTTACAAACTACAGTAACAGAAAGTGGGCGGAGCTAAACAGTCAGTGCTTAAGGGGCGGGGTTTAACCACACTATTACATCATGAAGTCATTTTTAACATACTACAGTACTAGTCAGTGGGCGGAGCTAAACAGGTAGTGATTTAGGGGCGGAGTTTAGCCACTATTACATCATAAAGTCATTATTTACAAACTACAGTAACAGACAGTGGGCGGAGCTAAACTGTCAATGATTTAGGGGCGGAGTTTAACCACAACATTACATCATAAAGTCATTATTTACATATTACAGTACCAGTCAGTGGGCGGAGCTAAACAGTGGGAGATCGATGGGGTGGAGTTTAGCGACACTATTACATCTTAAAGTCATTATTTACATACTACAGTACTAGTAAATGGGAGGAGCTAAACAGGCACTTTCGTAGAAGCAGGAGGCGGAGTTTAGCCCCACTGTTACATAATGAAGTTATTATTTACATACTACAGTCCATGGGCAGATCTAAACAGATTAAGGGGGCGAAGTGTAGCCACGCTATCTTAATAGTGTTAATTCAACAGGCAGAGCTAAACAGGAGGCGGAGTTTAGCCACACTATTACATCAGTAAGTTAATATTTACATACTACGCTAGTAGTCCATGGGTGGTGCTAAACAGGCTTAGTGATGCAGATGAAGGAGGTGAAGTTTAGCCACACTATTACATAATAAAGTAACTTTATGTATGGGTGGAGCTATACAGGCAGTGATTTAGGGGCGGAGTTTATACACTATCATTTAATAGGTATTTCTAGTCGGTGGGCGGAGCTAAAAACTCGCTGATTTTCAGTCTCTCTCATTGTGATGATTTTCTATTGGCACTGCATTTGGTGTTTCTGTGAATTGTTCATTAGGGTGCATCACAAGTTTTCATGTCATCACCACATGTGTGTGTGTGTGTGTGTGTGTGTGTCAGAGGTGTGTTTTGCGAGTGCAGAGACGGGTCCCTGTAGGGCCATGTTGTCCCGCTGGTATTATGTGCGTGAGGAGCGCCGCTGTGCGCCCTTCATCTACGGCGGCTGCGGAGGAAACCGTAATAACTTTGAGTCGGAGGAATACTGTCTGTCCGTCTGCAGCGGTGTGTGTAAGTGACCACTGAGAAACACACGCCAGTCTGACCCTTCAGAGAAACACACAGAAGAGCAACAAACACTAGAAGAGTAGAATAACATCATCAATAGTGGGAGTTCAAATAATGTGTTTAAGCATGTTATGCCCAAATGTGAGATCCATGAAAAATTGACAACTACTAATGCTGATTAATCTTTTAAATATTATGTGTGTGTATTGTGAGTGTGTGTATATAAACTCACCGGCCACTTTATTAGGTACACATTACTAGTACCGTGTTGGACCCCCTTTTGCCTTCAGAACTGCCTTAATCCTTTATGGCAGTTTTAACAAGCTGCTGGAAATATTCCTCAGAGATTTTGCTCCATGACAGCATCACACAGTTGCTGCAGATTTGTCAGCTGCACATCCATGATGCCAATCTCCCGTTCCACCACATCCTAAAGCTGCTCTATTGGATTGAGCTCTGGTGACTGTGGAGGCCATTTGAGTACAGTGAACTCATCGTCATGTTCAAGAAACCAGTCTGAGATGATTGAGCTTTATGACATGCTGCGTTATCCTGCTGGAAGTAGCCATCAGAAGATGGAGACACTGTGCTCATAAAGGGATGGACATGGTCAGCAGCAATACTCAGGTAGGCTGTGGCGTTGATGCTCAATTGGTACTAATGGAGCCAAAGAAAATCTCCCCCACACCATTACACCACCACCACCAGCCTGAACCGCTGATACAAGGCAGGATGCTTTTAAACTGCAGCAGATTGTCTTGACCATGGTTACATGCTTGCATGCATTGAGTTGCTGCCATGTGATTGGCTGATTAGAAATGTGCATTGGATAGGTGTACCTAATAAAGTGACCAGTGAGTGTATATATGCACACAAATATAAAAAAAAACTATTCTTATTATATATATTTTATATCTGAAAATAAAATAATGATTTTTTTTTCAAATATGTACATGCATGTGTGTATTTTTATATATGCATAATAAATATGCACAGTGGACATACATATATTATGTAAAATAATGGACATGTATATTTTTTTATTAATTCCAACACTAATGGTAATATATGCAAATCACACACAATAATATGTGTGTTTGTTTATGTATGTAGTTTTTTTATATATAGGTTCTGGCTGGATTATTTAAAATATAAAAGCAATATTATTTGCCCTCATATTATGTAAATATTATTTTTATTTTCATCAGTAATTATCATAAAAGGCATGATACATTCATTTACATATCTTTATTTTTTCATTCTCAAAAAACAAAAGTAAAGAGCAGCGTGAACACTCTGCTAAGCGTCTTCTTTTGTGTTTCTCAGAAGGTCAGTCATCAGTGCGAGTGGGTTGACTTTGGATTAATTATTCTATGTGCTTCTGGCGTGTGTTTTCACGCGTGTTAAAGCTCACCATCTTCTCTAACCGGCTGGGGTTGCTTTTGGCTGCTGATTAACCCAAAATTTCGCCTTGAATTTCCTTTCTGTAGCTCTGATTCTTCAACTAACTTCATAGACTGAAGTTTGCGTGTGTGTGTGTGTTTGTGTGTGTGTGTGTGTGTGTGTGTGTGTGTGTGCGCGTGCATGCATGTGTGTGTGTGTGTGTGTTAGTGTCTTTCATTTGCATGCATAAAATCACTAACGCAGGTTACATGCTCTACAAACCTTCCACTCCTCCCTTCATCTGTTCTTCTTTAGACTTGAGTCATTTACAACAGTTTTATATTATATTGCTTTATGAGCAAACTGACATTATACAGAGACTTTCATAATCCTCAAAATGTTCTAATCAAGGAAAAGATGACATTCCTGATGCAGATTGTCCTGTAGTGTCCTGTAGAGAGATCATCATCATCTTCAGCTTAACCTCAAGAAAACGGAAATGCTTAAAGTTTCTGCCAACCCGACTCTACACCATAACTTTTCAATCCAGATGGATGGGGCAACCATTACTGCATCCAAAATGGTGAAAAGCCTTGGAGTAACGATTAATGACCAACTAAACTTCTCTGAGCACATCTCTAGAACTGCTCGATCTTGCAGATTCACACTCTATAACATCAGAAAGATCCGACCCTTCTTATCTGAACATGCAGCTCAACTCCTTGTTCAAGCTCTTGTTCTCTCCAGATTGGATTACTGCAACTCTCTACTAGCCGGGCTTCCAGCTAACTCTATCAAACCTCTTCAGCTGCTTCAGAACGCAGCAGCACGAGTGGTCTTTAATGAACCTAAAAGAGCACATGTCACTCCGCTGCTCATCCGTTTGCACTGGCTGCCAGTTGCTGCTCGCATCAAATTCAAAGCTCTGATATTTGCCTACAAAGCGACTTCTGGCTTTGCTCCTTCTTATCTGCTCTCACTTCTGCAGATGTATGTGCCCTCCAGAAACTTGCGTTCTGTGAATGAACGTCGCCTCGAGGTTCCATCCCAAAGAGGGAAGAAAACACTTTCGCGAACTCTCGCGTTCAATCTGCCCAGTTGGTGGAATGAACTCCCTAACTGCATCAGAACAGCAGAGTCACTCGCTGTCTTCAAGAAACCACTAAAAACTCAACTATTTAGTCTCCACTTCCCTTCCTAATCTGCAATTGCCTCTCTGGCTCCACCGCTAACTGTACTACAAAAAATAATAATAATAAAAACGTTTTGCTTTTTACACTTTACACACCTGAAACTCGCCTACAGCACTTATTCTCTGTTGCTCTTATAGTTGTGTAAATTGCTTCCTTGTCCTCATTTGTAAGTCGCTTGGATAAAAGCATCTGCTAAATGACTAAATGTAAATGTTTTATTTTGTTGTTTTTGTCTTTTTTAACAGGGTTTTACTGTCATCTGCTTTTCTCATGTCCTGTAATAAGTATGTGTGTGTGTGTGTGTGTGTGTCAATCCGCAGTGCCGACTCCATCCTCCAGCCCTCCGGATGCAGTGGACCGATATCTGGAGACGCCGGCGGACGAGAACGAACACGCTCACTTTCTACAGGCCAAAGAAAGTTTGGAGACCAAACACCGCGAGCGCATGTCTCAGGTACTAAATCTGGCTACGTCTGCACTCCATGTCCCTCCTTAAAATGCTCCATGTCCACATTCATTCATTAGTTTTCTTTTCGGCTTAGTCCCTTTATTAATCAGGAATCACTATAGTGGAATGAACTGACAACTATTCTAGCATATGTTTTACACATCGGATGCCCTTCCAGCTGCAACTCAGTACTGGGAAACACCCAAACACTCTTGTTTACACACACACTCATACACTACGGCCAGTTGAGTTCATCAATTCCCCTATAGCGCATCTGCTTGGACCATAAAGAAAACCGGAGCACCAGGAGGAAACCCACGCCAACATGGGGAGAACATGCAAACTCCACATGGAAACACCTAACCACTGAGCCATGTGTGTGATGGGATGCATTAATGGACTTTGCGATGTTTCCAGCACATTGTAAAACAGAAATGTCACACAGCACTCACTGTAAAATGCCTCAGCCAAAGTCTGTCATCACAGTGGTTCAGTATTGACCACAGTAAAGACGTTTCCGAACATGTCTTTGTTGTGTTGTGTGTTTTATAGGTGATGAGGGAATGGGAAGAGGCCGAGAGACAGGCCAAGAGTTTACCACGCAACGACAAGAAGGCCGTGATCCAGGTCAGAGTGCTCAAAAATAGAGCTGGGTGATACTGGATAATATGCAATATCTGATACTGTTGTTGAGAGTTGTAATAACGATGCTTCATACAATATAACTAACTTTAAAAACACTATCAGCTATTTTTTTAATCATTTATGTAATGATCGTACAAAAATAAACAGATAATAGCTATTTTTCTGAGCTAATAAAATAAAATAATATATTAATATATGTATATATCAAGTTGCATCTACACTTTAAAGCACCACGAATGACTAAAAACCTTGCCGGAAATTCTGATTCTTATTGGCCTCTCTCATATCTCAGTGTATCTCATATCATAATATGTGTTCTTCTGGAGAAAGTCTATGTTGTGTTATTTCGACTAGAATAAAAGCAGTTTTTAAACCCATTTTAAGGTCAGTATTATTAGCCCCCTTGTCTCCAGAACAAACCACTGTTATACAATGACTTGCCTAATTACTCTAAGTTTACGCTAATTACCCTAGTTAAGTCTGCAAATGTCACTTTAAGCTGAATATTAGTGTCTTGTAGAATATCTGAGTTAATAGAAATGAGTTATTGAAATTATTCTCTTTAAAATGTGCTGAAGAAATCTGCTCTGTTGAACAGAAATGGGGGAAAAATATATACAGGCAGGCTGATAATGTGCATTGTGCAGCCCTACTCAAAACAACCTTTATCAGGCCTTCAGTAGCAGGCCTGGAGGATGTTTAGTTTATTTTTTGTGTGTTTTTGCAGCACTTCCAGGAGAAGGTGGAGGCTCTGGAGCAGGAGTCGGCCAGCGAGCGTCAGCAGCTGGTGGAGACACACATGGCACGGGTGGAGGCTCTGCTGAACGACCGCCGCCGCCTCGCCCTCGAGAGCTACCTGTCTGCCCTGCAGGCCGATCCACCACGGGTACACAACACACCTCATATCACACAACACACCTCATATCACACAACACAGCTCATATCACACAACACACCTCATATCACACAACACACCTCATATCACACAACACAGCTCATATCACACAACACAGCTCATATCACACAACACACCTCATATCACACAACACTCCTCATATCACACAACACTCCTCATATCACACAACACACCACATATCAGAACGCTTGAGAAAAATAAATCTCAATTGTGACGTAAAAACTTTGTGATTTGTGAGATGCAAACTCAAAATTGCATGAAATAAAGCTGGAATTTTTAAGAGACAAGTGTTTTCACAGGTGAGATCTGAACTGAAATGTGAAGTCAGAATTGCAGGGTGTAAGCTCAGAGTTACATGCAATGTCAAAATTATGAGATGCAAACTTAGAATTGCATGATATGAAGATGGAATTTCAAGAGATAAACGTGCATTTTCACAGATGAAAGATCAGAACTTTTTATATGCAAACTCGGAATTGTGAGATGCAAAGTTGAAATTGCAAAATGTGAAGTCAAAATTTCCAGATTCAAAGTCAGAACTGGAAGTTGTTACATACAAAGTCAAAATTATGGGATGCAAAGTCAGAAATGCATGATGCAAAGTCAAAATTATGGAATGCAAACTGGGAATTTTGAGATGCAAATTTAGATTTGCAATATGTTAATTCAGATTTGTAAGATGCAAAATCAAAATAGCATTAAGTAAAGCTGGAGTTTCAAGAGACAAATGTGAATTTCAGATCAGTGTTCCCTCTAGGATTTTTTCCAGCTGTGGCGGCAGACTCTGTTGGCCATTTTACACAGATCTACCACTACATGTGGCGTTATTTCATTGACAAATGTCATGTGCGCAGCATTACATCGAGATCGCATTCATGTAATAGCCTACGAGCATGTCAATCTCTGCTTGAGCGCCGATTTCCTTTGCTCGTGCACAAAAGTTCTTGTGTGCTCTCAAATATACGCTGCTGAAGTGCAGATTTTCTTGCGCGCCCTCAAATAAACGCGGCTGAAGTGTGATTTAGTGCGTTTATGTAGCGAGTGTGTCTCCAGCATTTATTAGATTTGCTAGGAATATTTATGAATGTCTCAGATAGACTTGCGGAGCGGCATTAATGCGTTTTGAAGTAAAGTGAAACGTCTATAAACTCCAGCAAGATAAAGTCATTATATGCAGAGCCACAGACCGTTATCTGTAAATTAAGTATAATTATGGAAACTGTTCATCATACCTGAATGCTGCGCCATGTTTGCTGGTCTCACGCATCACGCACCTGTCAGTCAGCACGTCACCTTAAAGGGTTAAATAGCACGCACAGCACTACTACGGTCACAGAAAAGTTTGCGCTGTTATTATTCACTTACCTTTTCATACGTTTTTGGTGCGATTTTAACCCGCTATTTAAAAAAACAACAGAATATTTTGAATAAGAGCTGTAATGTAGCCGTGGCAGGATGAATTTTGGTGTGGTGCCCCGCCACGGAAGAATGAATGTAGCGGAAACCATGCAGATG